GGATACCTCATATCCAAACCATAACATCAAAATATCTCAAGAGATACAGAAGGGAAGAGGCATACTACAGAGCTAAGTGTTTATTATACATTATCTCTTGGCTTGACATTTAATAATCCCAGACCAGTTACCATTGTCTCTTACTACTCTCCTAAACACATGCAGGAATGCCACCTATATTCATTTGAAAAATTAATATTTCAACTAACCATGTAATATATGTAAATAGTAATCCATGAATATATTACATTATAAAAAATTAAAACATTCTATAGCTAAGGACAAATATTATAGCTAAGTCTTCACAAGACCTCTCTTGCTTATCTTGTATTTATGTATATGTATTTTGGGAATTCTTCTCTTCCTTTAAAGTTCTACTTAATGTCACATTATCTATGCCTCCTTCCAAATTTTCTTGATCAGAATGGATTTTGCCTTTTACTGAACCCTCAGTGATTCATCCACATCTTATTTTACAGGGCTTTGCATTTTGTTGAATATGTGTCTGCATTATCTACTAGATCATAATTTTTGTAAAGACAGGTCCCTGCATTTTGGACTCTATAGTCCCCCAAATCAAACCACATAATAAGTGAAAGAAAAAAATAAAATGAATATATGCCTTATTTTCATAACTATGCTGATAACATGAAAGGAACACCAGACTAGAGTTGGTTAAATCTTGGTTTTACATAGAAGCTATTTGTTGCAGTATAATTTGTAACACGAAAGGTCTTAGAAAACTCTAGGTAAGCTAATCATAATGTGATTGGTGGAAAAAGTGGTAGATCCACTCAGTGGAATACTACTCAATGTGAAAAATTAAAAAAAGAAGAATTAAAATGTATTGTTGTTAAGTTTAAAAAAAGCAAGGTAGAAAAAGGTTGGCATAACAAAATATGATTTTTATAGCAGATTATGAACCTGACCCTAAATAAAACAAAATAATAGGAAAGAGTAAACACAGTGAAGGAACCACCATGGAAGTTAGCTCCCTTTAAATATACTTTGTGGTATAGTTTTGACTTTAAAACCATTTAAATTTTCAAAAATCAATTTTAAAAATCAAAGATTTACAAAGCAATTTTTATAAAAAGCAAACATAAGACAAATGAACCTATGCAGTGAATTGATGACATAACTGAAAAAAGAAGATTTAAAGCCTAGGAGGGTATGAGGAAATGTTCTGAGAACAGAAGAATGGCAAAAATAAAAAAAAAAAAAGAGAAAAAATTGCATTATATCGTTAAGAATATTGGAATTCTTATTCTAAAACTATTATACATGCGTAGCATATGCGTGCATTTATGCTACACACAGACTTTAAGCAACATATGAGAGATGGAGAGAGAGTATAAAAAGAAGACAAATCTGATAAAGTCTCTATGTTTACTTCCTATCTACAGGAAACACAGGGATTAGAGAAACATGTTAAATGACATGAAGATGAAGCAATTAACCATAGTACAGAATATGGGAAAGTTAACAAGGCAATGACCGAGTTTCTCCAACACATGAATTGCAAAGAAAATAAAATAGGTAGGGATTATAAAAGATTTAAGAGACATAGCAAATAAATTCTACATTATTTCTTTCACTGAGGGGTAGATTCTAATATCTCTCCCTTAAATCTGAGCTGGCCTTCAGGACTTGCTTGGCCAATATTAGAATGTAGTGACTAGGATGTTCTAGGGATTTGGGGGCTAGGTATTAAGCCTAGCAAATGTGCATAAGCCTCTTACAGCAGTCTCTGGATTCCTGAGGGTCCATGTAGGAAGTCTGAGTACTTTTTGACCAGCATGCTGGAAAGGCCAGCATATGTAGGTACAGATTCAGCCCTGTGAATCCATCTTGGATCTTCCAGACCAGCCATCATTAATGTCACATGGACCAGAAGGATTACCTAGTCAGCCATGCTCAAATTACTGACCTATAATATTGTGAGATATGGTCAAATGGTTGTTGTTTTAAGTCTTTCAATTTTGATTTGTTGTATAACTATACACAGCCAGAATAACATCCAGTACTTTTAGATGGAAATTCAGATCTAGCATTACGAGAATATAGTTTGCAGGGGGAAAAGATGAGAGGGAAAAAATATTTTTTTTGGGGGGGGCATACGATTTGTAAGGTAACATTGTTTTATGCTAATAATGATACTTTATAAATCATGTGAGGAATTCATTTGCTTTATTTGAGATTTCAAAACTAGTGAGCGAAAGGAAATTGGTTTGTGAAGAGAGAAAGAAAAAAACATGCATAATTATTTCTTTCATTATGAATGTGCATTCCTGACATCTCTGAGGACTAAGATTGTCCTGCAGGGACTATGATTAAAGTTACAAAGAGGAAAACAAAATAAGTAAGTCAGCTTTTGATCCTGCTGCTATATTTACCCACAAAAAAGGAGGCAGCTCTCAGGTGGGCTTTTGTGTAAGTAATGTCCTGAAATCCAAGTGTAAAAGAACAATATGAAATCTCAATTCTCCCAAACGGTTTGGGGCAGTTCAGCCCTTGAGTCCCTGGGGGGCTTGGTTCCCAAGGAGACTAATCCCACTTGCTCAGCATTAGGCATCACTGGGAGGAAAGAGCTCTACTTTGGAGTTCTGCAGAGCCTCCTATGCAGACTGGAGCGGGGTCTCTCTGCTCTATAGGAAGTGAAATGTATTGATGTCAAAGCCTCTCAAGTGAACATGCTCACTCAGGGGGTAGGAGGAGGGGCCAGAGGGCCAGGCAGGAGCTGACCACTGACTTTACTGAAACCAGTTTCATCCCAGCTCTTTTCCAAAGGAAAGGAGATCAAGCAGCTGAGTCCACGAGGCAGAGTATTTATGGACAATTTAGGTGGATAGTAGAAGCTTTTTGAGAACTTATTTTGGTTTCTGGTATGGAACTTATTTTTTTTTCAAATGTTTTTTGTTGCCTTAGTGGTAACATTATTTCCATAAATACTATTGCTTTCATATAGCCGTGCCTCTTCCCAGGTTGTTCTCTCTGACAGAGGTATTGTTTATTGGCTGACACACTCAAGTGCATCATTTAAGTCTTGTTGTCTACCATCATTTAAGTTCAAATGCTGTCTATGTAAATATGCTGAGTCTTTTGGGCAGGCTTGAGGGCCCTTTTATTGGATCAACTATGGTAACTTTAATTTATTTCCTGTTTTAGTCAGTTTTTTTTTTTTTCTGCTGTGAACAAAAGACCTGACAAGAAAATTAGAGGAGGAATAGTTTCTTTGGGGGCTTACAGTTTCAGAGGTCTCAGCCCATAGTCTGCTGGCTCCATTTCTCAGGGCTTCAGGTGAGGCAGGACATCACAAAGGAACAGTGGGGCAGAGGAAAGCAGCTGGGAACATGGTGCCAGGAAGTAGAAAGAGAAAGCTCCACTATCTAGAGATAAAATATATACCCAAAGATACACCCTACCCGGGAACCACCTCCTCCAGTCACACACTGACTAGTTGCCATCTAGTTAATCCTTACCAGAGGACTAATGCATTTATTAGGTTAAGATTCTCATAATCCAGAGCCTTTAGGAGATATCTCATATTGAAACCATGATGCTTCCATTGAGGCATGAATCATATTATATATTACAATGGCTTGTTTACAAGGCTGTCTTTCTACCGGATGGGTGGGAATCATAGTTTCTTATCTCTACATCCTCATTACTAGCACAGTGCCAAACACATTGTACGTAAATATCTTTGTGTGAAATGAGTGACTGCATGGATATTTATGTGTAATAATCAATCTTGTGACTCAGCCTAAACCATAAACATCTTATTTTTGTGTATAGAACTTTATGGTTGACAAAAGACTTTTATTTCTATTATCTTACTGGTTGTCTATCAAAGAGGCTCATATTACTATTCTTATTTTACAGAGGGGAACATTGAAAACCAGAGAGTGAGTCAGCCACATAATAAAGGCAGGATTAGACGTCAGCTCCTGGCTACAGTTTTAGCATTTCCTCCACTATGTTACACTGCCTTATTTCTAAGTTCCTAAAACCTAGAGGTGTAGCTACTCTCTTGCATTTGAAGATAGGCACTCCCTTTGTTGGGAACAAAGGACAACTGATACTGATTTTATAGTACCATGATAAAGAATGGGTGGGGCCTAAGGAATCAGGAACATGGGTATTTGTTGAGCTCTATTTTGTATCAAGTGCCTCATACACACTTGTCGCGACCCCTCGCCAGCAAGGGAAAACACGACACAGGATTCTTCTTTCAGCAGTTTATTCAGGCCTTGATTCAAGTATCATCTCTCCTCCCACACCCAAGCACAGCCTAATAAAGCTCCCCGCATCCCAATCCCAAGCTGCCACGTGGACCTTTCTCATAGGGTGGTAAGGGATTGCGTGCCAACTCTCCATATCAGGAGTTGTTTGTCACAGGCCACAGTGGAAGCCGGCGCCATCTTCTAATGGCGGCCACGGTTTATTAGTACGGCTCTCCACACACACTGTCTCACAAAAACCTGGAGGAACTGAGATGATCTCATGAATGGATGAGAAAAGTAAGACTTAGAGGTATTATTTGTCTATTGTATCATGTAATGCTCACAAAACCCTTGAGAACAGTTATGACTGCGGTTATGATGAGGAATCTGAGCCTTAGGAAGATTAACTGACTTTCCAAGGACACTTAGCAACAGGCAGGACCAGAATTGGAACCTGACGTCATCTTACTTCAAATCAACTTTGATGCTTAGCTCTCAGGTGGTCTGTATGTCTCACATCTCACATGCAGACTCTGCACCTATACTATAACAACTTGATTTGAGAACACTTTAGCATGCACAGTATCTTCATATATGTAATCTCATTTAATCTTCACAAATACTTTAGAACAAAGAAATGTGTAAAGGAATATAGTCATGTTTTTTTCTTGTGTATGTTTCAGAGAGGTAAGAGTGACTGCTCATTCAAGTTATGGGATAGTCAACAGATAAAGCTCCTTACAGGAATTCTCATTTAAATACCACAAGTGGGCTGAGGCTGTAGCTCAGTGGTAGAGTGCTTGCCTAGCAAGCATGAGGCCCTGGGTTCAATCCCCAGTACTGCCTCATAAGTGCCATGTGAGGTGGATAAACTTACCGAGTTTTGGATTTAACATGAGTGAAACTAGCTTTGGACTTAACATGAGTAAGCTGTGCAAAACATGACTGGCTCCTTTGCCCAAAGGCATGTGCTCAGCAAGGCAAGGATCTCAACTTAAGTCACAGGGGTATTGAGTAGCTAAACCCAGAAACCAGGTTTTTTCCTAAATCACCTTCCAGGTTCTACCATATTGCTCATTTTCTCTATTCCCTGAGGAATGTCCAGTTGAAAGTGGGTCAAATGCCAAGGTGATCCTCAAAATTCAACAAGAGTTTCAGAAGAACAACCAGTTCATCTTTTGCCCTAGCAGGTGTGAAGCAAGAGGTGGTTTAGTGAGAGTGATTCCTTTCTCATTTCCCTTTTGTTGTCTTTGTGCTAATAAATCATGGGTCAAGGGCTGGTTGCAATTTACTGGAAGCTAATTGTTACTTCTAACAATCAAGGGGTAGAAGAAATAGCATTGCACTTGAGAGTCCTGGGGATGCTCTGGTTAGAGTCCTGGACTCTAGCTCTAGCTAGAGCTCAAAGAAACTAGTTTCCTTCTCTGATGAGATAAAACAAAGCTAAGGAAGAATACTAGTTTTGTTCTGGAATGGCTTTATAATTAAACTGGAATAGATGGGGCTTGGGCCAACTTCTTTGAGGCCCAGTTTCCTCCTTTGTTGAATGGTGATAGTAATGTGTAATTCACAAGGCTGTGGTTTAGGGATTAAATGAGATAATGCATCGACAACATCTGGCACAGGCATGCACCCAGTAGCCGGTAGCTATCATTATTACAAGACTTGGAGCAGAAACCCTGTCTTTGGACCACTGCCTTCCCTACCTCCGGCCAGTCTCCCGCTGAAGTTTGAGGACAGGCCATCTTCTCCTTGCCCCTGGCGGTTGGAAATTGCCTAAAGAAACGTCCTGGGGCAAAGGGAAAGTAAGGGGTTAAGGACTGAGAAAGCCCAGAAGACTGGAAAAGGGACGACCCCCCCCCACAGCCCCGCGTCCCACCAAGCCAGGCTAAGTAAGCCCCTCCCCTTCGCCACCGGGGCGGTCGCCGTGCGCTCCCTCCCTCCGCCTCTCGCTTACAAGATCTAATGAGCTCCCCCGGGAGGCTGAGCAGCGAGCCGGTCCCAGAGCAAGAAGGCAGCGCCGCGCGCACAGCGCGGGGGCCGGAACCGGGCCTTGGTAGCGAGCAAGAGTCGGACTGGGGCGCACCATCCACTTTGCGGACGGTCCGGGGGCCGCGGCGATGGCGGTGCAGGCGGCGCTCCTTAGCACGCACCCCTTCGTGCCCTTCGGCTTCGGAGGCTCCCCGGACGGACTGGGGAGCACCTTCGGAGCCCTAGACAAGGGCTGCTGTTTCGAGGACGAGGAGACTGGGGCGCCGGCGGGAGCGCTGCTGTCGGGAGCAGAAGGAGGGGACGTACGCGAGGCCACTCGAGATCTACTCAGCTTTATCGACTCGGCGTCCAGCAACATCAAGCTAGCGCTGGATAAGCCCGGCAAGTCGAAGCGGAAGGTGAACCACCGCAAGTACCTGCAGAAGCAGATCAAGCGCTGCAATGGCCTCATGGGCGCCTCGCCCCCGGGCCCACCCTCCCCCAGCGCGGCCGACACGCCCGCCAAGCGGCCGCTAGCCGCCCCCAGCGCTTCGACGGCCGCGGCGCCGGTGCATGGCAAGGCCGCCCCCCGGCGGGAGGCGTCGCAGGCCGCGGCAGCCGCCAGCCTACAAAGCCGAAGTCTGGCTGCGCTGTTTGACTCGCTGCGCCACGTCTCCGGGGGCGCCGAGCCAGTGGGGGGTGCGGTGGCAGTGCCAGTGACCGGCCTTGGAGGAACGAGCTCCGGGGGCGCAGGAGGGGAAGCGTCTGGCCCCGCCGGGGGCTCAGCGGTCCCGGGAGCTAGGAAGGTCCCACTGCGGGCCCGAAATCTGCCCCCGTCCTTCTTCACTGAGCCCTCCCGGGCGGGCGGTGGCGGCGGCGGGTGTGGCCCGTCGGGGCCTGGGGTGAGCTTGGGCGACCTGGAGAAAGGGGCGGAGGCCGTGGAGTTCTTCGAGTTGCTGGGGTCAGACTACGGCGCCGGCACCGAGGCTGGCGTCTTGCTTGCCGCAGAGCCTCTCGACGTGTTCCCCACCGGAGCCGCTGCCCTGCGCGGACCCTTGGAGCTGGAGCCTGGCCTTTTTGAGCCCCCGCCAGCGATGGTGGGAAACCTAATATACCCTGAGCCCTGGAGCGCCCCGAGCTGTGCCCCGACCAAGAAGTCGCCCATGGCTGCAGCCCGCGGCGGTTTGACCTTGAACGAGTCCTTGCGCCCCCTGTACCCTGCTCCCTCAGACTCTCCCGGCGGCGAGGACGGGACCGGCCATTTGGCCTCTTTCGCCCCCTTCTTCCCGGACTGCACCCTGCCGCCGCCGCCGCCGCATCAGGTGTCCTATGATTATAACGCGGGCTACAGCCGCTCAGCTTACTCCAGCCTTTGGAGACCGGATGGTGTTTGGGAAGGGGCCCCGGGGGAGGAGGGGGCGCACCGGGACTGACTGAAGTACCCTTCTGTCCCATTAGAGACTGCTGTGGGGAGCGCCCTCCTCAGGGTCCCTCCTTAGCCTGGAGAAAGATGGGAAAACGCACGTGGAGATGAAACGGGATTTTAAAAAATTCAATTAATAAAGGAAACTTAAGAAAAAAGAGATGAAGAGGAGTTGGGGATTGTTTTAATCACAGCCGTGTGTGTGTGTGTGTGTGTGTGTGTGTGTGTGTGTGTCTTTAAGCTGCCTGTAGGTTCTTACTGGACCAAACAAAAAATCCCAAGCAAACCAAGACATGGCTTGGGAAATAATGGATGGGTGGGGTAGGCAGAAGGAACAAGAGGTGGCTATAGAGGCTACCTCTTGCCCCTTCTCCAACTTTTCATCAAAAGTCAGTGTATTTAGTGTAATTTCTCCTTTTAAACATTGTCTGGTCCCTTCCATTGAGTGCATCATGAAGTCAAAACTGTACTGAAAAGAATGGAGGAGAGCGATGTTGTTATGATTTGAATGTTTTCTGAGGGTAATCTCAGAGGTCTCTGTGGCCTCTCAGACCTGCTATGTGGGAGTGTTACCGAGGACCAGCGGTGGTCCACCGCTGTCCTTGGGTGTGGTTCTCTTGTCTCTTGTCTGTTGCTCTTCCTCTCAAAATTTCCCCCTGCTTCCTTTCTTCTTTCATCTTTCTGCTCTTATCTGTGCTTTTCTTTACTTTGCTCCTTTTTTTCCTGGCCTTTCATTGCACTCCATGCTCTCTCATATTTCTTTTTCTGTTTGCTTTTCTCACCAATATCTGTGGTAGGAGACAAATTTGGCAAACCTCTGTCCATTTTTTCTCTTGTTTCCCTTTCTTATTTTCCAACCATGTTGGGACGGGGAGACAAGGCAAGTGTAACCTCTTTGCATTGCAGTTTCCTTATCTGAGAGGGTGGGGGTGACAGCATTCCACCACCTCACTTCTTCACAGCTTGTTGGATAGCAGCTCAGAAGTGAAATATACAGGGTGCTTGAGGCTGCAGCAGTGCTTGATTGTGTGTGTGTGTGTGTGTGCATATGCATTTAAATGGTTTTTATAAGTGGGAGCAACTGGAAATGTGATTCTCATGCTCTTTTGGGTGATCTCTTTGCCCTGAGAGTGCACTTTCCCTAACAAGCTGTTTGCCTTCTCCTGCTGCTCCACTCCTACACCCTTCCCTTGGTTTGTGCCCCCTGTTCTTCCTCATTCATCACACCCATACCCTCCCTCCCCAAGATAGGGAATGGTGAAGGGTGTGAAATTTCCAAAGTAGAGTTCCTCTATTCCCTAAGTTGCAGGTTCAATGAATGGAACCTGAAGGGCTTATGGAGGGAAGAGAATAATCTGTTGTCATAGGGAGACTTGGAAGAAAAAAAAAAAAAGAAAGAAATAATTTCAACAGCCTTGGATGTGGCAGATAGGGTACACAGCACCATCAGTATGGTTGAGGGATAGACTAGGAAAGATTGAGTGTGAAGTGAGCAGCTAGAGGGAAAAGAGGAGGTCCCTCCGTGCAGATCTACAGGTGAAAATACAAAAGAAGAGACTAACATTCAGAAAATACAAGGGAACTGTTGTCTACTGGTTGATTATGTTGCAAAGGAAAGCTGCTTCTGTTCAAGGCAGCAAAGTAGAAAAAGTAGATTGTAAGAATATCTGGATGTGAGATAATTAGAACTCCAGTGTTGCTACGATAGATTTTAAAAATCTAGGTTAATATTTGTACAAATCAAATATTCTTTGATATTTTCAGAAAGGAATTTATGAAAAAAGCAAATGGGTATTGAGCAATGGTAGACACAACTTTAAGTGCTATTGCTAAGTCACTTTCTTCTGAATATAACTTTTCTTAAGAAAGCAACAAAGAAACCATAGTGATGAGTCTTGGTAATGCCGAAAAGAACCTTTGAAACTTCAGAAACCTGTGCTATGAATTTATTTCCAAATGGTAAAAATTGACTAATTCCAATATACTAATAGAATGTTAGGATCAGTACTATCTAGGGTAGAATTTTACAGTAGGAAGACATGAATACCCCTGTGACTATTATTATTATTGAAATGTTTCTTTCTTATTTTTCCTCTTTTTTTCTTACCTAGCTTGGTAAAACAAGGTCTCTCTCTTAGTATCTTGCTTGCCATGCTTTTCTTTTAAAAAAATACCTAAACTGAGTGTTTCCTGTATGCCAGGCATTGAGCTCAGCCCCAAATCACGGATCCTCTTAACAGTGCCATGAGAAAGGAAAAGATATTATTATTCTCATTTGAAAACTGAGGTTCAAACCACTTAAATACATCATTGAAGGAAGTAGTGCGTCTCAAGATTCCGATCTACCTGTGTCCCATTACCAAGACCTGCCTGTTTGCAAGGCTTTGCTGTGCTTCATAAGGGGGTCTGGGTCCCAGTCCCCTGCATTATAATACTCGCAGAGTTTCTCAACCT